GGCATGGAGGTGAGCAATGTCTTTTCCATCAAGTGCTGCCTGGCAGCCTCAGGGGTGCCTGCTCAAAGCCATCCCTGCGGGTTTGTTGCTCAATGTGTCATCCTGCTTGGAAGTCTCAGCATAGAGGATGAGGAGAAACTGAGTGAAGAAAATGAGCCATTCCTTCAGAGGGTAATCTTTATCAGCGAGAGGATTTCAGCCACCTCCGGTCGTGTTCTCTACAGCAAAATAACCTGCTGCTAATAGTATTCCTCTTTTTAAGCTAAATCCCATAGATGTTCTGCTCGGGAAGTGATTTGGTGAACCAGGAAAGAGAACCCAGGATGCCTGCTGCCAGTCTTCTTTCCAGGCCATTACACAACACTGTTCTGGGGTTAAAAAACCAGAAACATCTGGGAATAATCAAAGCTATTTATGCTCTGGGAAAGCATGGCTGGAGAAAGTTTGAAGGAAGCAACTTGAAAGCTCAGCATTGTTAAAAGCAGTCTGGAAGCCCTGAAAATTAAAACTAGGGTAACATCTACAAAGAGTGAGGAAGTATCAAGAGAAGGATCTAATATCCTCTGTGGAGCAGAGAGAGACGGAATGAATTGTAATGCTTGAGCCTTTACTAAGCTACAGGGCATTAAAAATTGCTTTGGAACAAACAAATCTGCCATTCCTGCGGTTTCTGCTGGCAGGAGAGCAGAGGGAAAGACCAGGGGTCTGGCTTAAAAGCAGCCTGGGGATTGGAAGTGTGATTTAGAGGCAGATAACTACAATCCTCCAAACGCCTGGTACTGGTGATGCAGAGCCCACAGCGAGCAGTACCTGCCAGGGCTGGCTCAGGGGGGATGCAGGCTGTGCAGGGGAGGTGTGGGGCTCAATGCCATCCCTGTCAGGGTGTCACCAGCCAGAGTACAGCTGGGGCAGGGGGGAATGTAACCCTCAGGCTCTGCTTTCCAAGTGTCAGGATGTGTGCTTGGGCTGGCCAGTGGCACTGCCATGGGAAGGGGAACAAGACAGGTCCTGCTTCCTGGGGGATGTTCCTCCTGGAGGGTGACAGTGCCTTGCTGCCCATCACTGCGGGGAACGTGCTCAGATCTCCTCTGGCGTGGGAGTTCAAATGATCCTGGGATCATCCTCTGAGCCTGGTGGATAACCCAGGGCTGGCAGCTGGAAACACTGTCCGTGGGGTGTCCAGCTGGCAGCAGGGACTGTGGTGCTCCTTGTGCTTGCTGAGCTACCTGCAGCACTGACCCTGCTCCTTCCTCAGCAACCTGGGGGCAGCTTCCCTGAAATTATTCATGGAGCCAGCCTTCATTGATGAAAATCCTGTCTTTTAGCATCACTGGGAGGCAAGTCTGTTGCTGGAAAATCTCATTTGTGCTGATTTGTAGAAGCTTTAATCGTAGAGGGCCTCTCTCAGTGCTTTCCATTCCCTCTTGTACCACTTTACATCTCCCCCTACTCCTGCCTCTGGCTGGGTCTGGAATAAAAGCTCCTATCATCTCCAAGAGATGGAAAAGTAGCCTGGGTATGGGGAGGGTGAGCACACTGGAGGAAGGACAATGGGACAAGCAGCCACCACAGGAGCCATGGAAATGGTTAAAGATTTGGGGAATCCAGATCTGCTGCATCTTCTGTGACAATCTGGCCTCCCCAGCATCCTTGTAAATGAGAAGCCGCATAAGCCTCACACTCTATTATTGCTACAGAGCATTAGAGTCTCTCATTTAGGATAAACATTCTCATCTCCAGCAGAGCATGAATAACATTAAATGAGATAGTTAAAATGTTTCAGGCCAATTATAGCCCCGGTGTAACTTCGGCAGAGTTACACCAGGGATTAATTTGATCCGGAGAGCTCTGCCTCCTGTTCCGAACTGGGATTCCAGCACGGGTAATTACATCCTGCCTCTCTGCACTTCCTCTGGAGTTTTAATTGGGTTGAATGGACTCAAATTCTGCTTTTTTCTTCAGAAAGCCACCAAATTTCCAAACTGCTACACGAGCTGAGGGAGCTCTGCCCTGCCTCTCTGCCGTGCTAGTGAGGGTCAGGTCTGCTCAGGGATGCTGACAGCCCAGCACGGGTGCACAGCAGCCTGCACCCCTCTGTGCCTTCTGCTGCTAAACCCACCACCCCGGTCTCCTGTTGGGGGTCCAGCCCTCACCTCCCAGCCTGGATTCCAGACCAGGCTACTTGTGCACTGAGACAGGCAGCTGGACTGTCTCCCTCTTCCACTTCCCAGCCTTCTCAGTAAATCAGTGTTAATGAGGGACATTTGACCCTCTCTTTCCCTGAACAGCCTTATGAAGCATTTTTGTTCCATGAGATAGTTAAGAAACTTGAAGCAATTTCCTCTCCTTGCTTCTACTCTAGTTTTTTGGTGGATTTTTTTTTTTCTTTGAGAAAAGGAAAAGTTGCAGGCCACACACAGCTTTTAGGATGCCTCAGAAGTGGGAGCAGAGGAGAGACATCAGGGTCTGATGTGAAGGGGATGGAGCAGCCAGGCCAGTCACGATGAGGTGACCCCAGCCCTGGTCCACTTGGTCTGTCAGAGAGGCCACGTGTGCAACTGAGACAGGAGGGCCAGAGCTGGAAAAGTGCACTGGCTGGCTGTGATTAGGAATTTAATTGTGAAGGAATCAAATTCCGAGGCATTATCTCACTGAGTTGGAGCAATACACAGCCATGCATCCTCCATAGCCAACTGTATACAGGGGCGAGGGCAGAGGGAAGGGTGCTGGGAACGGTCTCCCTCGCAGATTTCCAGGACTTTCTGCTGCTGTGTGGTCCACTTCCCTTCTCACAGGGCAATGACGAAAACAGACAGTCAGATAAACCCCGGGGAGCTGGGCCCAGCCCCCCAGCCTCGCCCCCTCCTCCAAGGCTGTGTGGGACTGCGGGTCCTGTTCCACCCCCACCCCTCCAGCTGGGGGTAGCCCACTCGCCTTTCATTTCCCTTTTTGTTTTTCCTACACTGTATTTTAGTGGGGACAGAGATGGAAAGAAGAGCAGAGATGTCACAATCCTTCCTTCCTCCTCAAACAAACGGCATCTCCTCAGTGGGATAACAACGACGTGACCACAATGGTGAGACCGTGTCCATCAGCCTCCTGACCTGCAGGAGACCTTCAGCATCCTTTGGAGAAGTGCTGGTGACACCCTGCCTGCCCTGTGGAGGCTGCCACGACCCCTTCTGTGTTTCTTGTAAAATGGAGAGTGGTTTTGGCCAGCAGAGAGAACACAACGAACGAGGTTAAGCAAATTCCCACTCCCACCCATCCGGGGCCTTCCGGGACCATCCCAAATCTCCATGCAGACCACAAACACCTCGTCGTGGCCAGCAAGCCTTGCGCAGCCACTGGCTACAGGCAGGCTCGCCCGCTCTGAGCTCAGCTGCTGGCTGCGGCTGACCGAGTAAATAAAGAACATTTCTCACGAAATCCACCCTCTTGGAGGTCCCCAGGCAGAGAGCTGGCCTTTCCATGGCTCAGGAAACCTTTATCCCCCAAATCTACAGCAGCCCCGTGCTGCAGTTGATTTAGCAAGCGATGTTTGCACACCCAGGTTTGCAGTGCACTGACCCTGTTCCCGGCAGCACCGTGACATTTGCAGGCACCGTTTCCATCTGGCCCCCTTGTACTTTCCGGGAGTTTTTGTGTGCTTGTCCAAATGGGGGGAAAGGTCAGGGTTATTGATGGAAGGTCCAGACTAAAATCTGGACTTCCCTAAACCCAGGATGACTGTGCCAGGGCTAACCCTGCAGATTAGGGCTCCAGTGGCCTCCCCTCAGCGAGGCTCTGCTCCTAATCTTTGGGGCTCTCATAGCTCTAGCACACACCCATATTTTTGGGGGCTCTTCTGCATCCTGTTTCTGACCTTGCAGATCCTCCTTGTTGCTCCTCTCTGCCCACCCAGAGCCGAACAGCCTCCACCCTGATGCCTCCTCTGCAGCTAAGCCCTTGACCTTTATTTTCCCTTAAATCAATACCTAAAAGCCATGCTACAGCAATACCAGCATGTCAGGGGAATCCAGGTGATTTGTATCATCTGAAGAGCTGATTCTGCTTTTGAGGCTCAATCCTGGCAAGCTTTTGTCTTTTCAGCTCCCAATCTCTTCTGCGCTGCCTTCAGCACAGTATTGTATTCATCCCCTGACCTCCCTCCCTGGCATTATTGACTCTGTATCTTGGTTTTAATCTCCTATAAAATGAAGGCAGCTCCAGGTAAAAGCAGTTCTATTCTTCCTGATCATAATATTTCTTTTAAAAGACTTAACAGAGAAAAAAACTACAGGGAAAACTCTACAGACTTTTGTGAAATTCTCACTGTGGAGAATCAAGCTGCTGGGAGCTCTTGTTGATATCTATATCCTTACCTCCATGGCAGGGAGGTGACCCTACAGCCCCAGGATGGGGAGAGGGTGCTGCCATCAGCCAGGAGCATCCTGGAGAGGAGCTGCATCCAAGGCTTCTTCCCCACCATCACTGCTCAGCCACTCTCCTTCCTCCAATGCTGTGTCCTGCTGTGGCTGTCTGCAGTGGTTGGCTCTCAGAAGGAGCAAACAGCCTGTTTTGGGTGCAAACAGGGTGTATTTACCAGTGAAAATTCATGCCAGCCCTGCTGGTGAGGCCGGCACAATTGTGCCCACAGAAAGGATTCAGTTTGTTAACTACTCCACTCATAAAAAAAAAAACAAACCCAAGACCTACCTCCTTCTGTCTAATATCTACTGGCAAAAGCTTCGGGAACTGCTTTTGCAGTTAGTTGAAGCTGATGTTTGCGAGCCCACCATTCCCAATGACTGATCAGATAGACTTTTCCCATCAGAGCATTTATTTTTCCAACAGGACACCGAGTCCTGAAACAAATGAAGGCTTGCACAAGAAATCCTCTGCCTCAGTTTGGCAGCAAACAGAAAACAGGAATATTTTTCTTTATTCTAATACCAAATTTTTGTGGCTAAATAGAGCCAAAAATATATCTCACCCCCACCCTCCCCCCACTTCTCCCAGACACGAGACATCTCCGAACGCCGAAAGCAACTTTTCCCTGCCACAAATGGACCAGATAAACCCAGCATGAGACTGGTGCTTGGGAGAAACAGATGCGCCTCTAATGCTGTCATCTACAGCAAGCTGTGTCTGCAAACTGATCTTTTATTAATGTTTTTATAGCGATGGGAAAGCTGCGGGGCAGGGCCCCCGGTCGCCCCGTACCCGTGGGCTGCGCTACGGCTGGGGCTGCTGGACACAACCCAACCCAGGGCTCAGCCTTAGACAGGCAAAGTTCCTTCCTGCACCAGTGTTTAAGCCAGAGCCTGGCTCTCCCTGAGCCGTGGGAGGGCAGCTGGGTGTTGTGGGTTCATCGGTGTTCAGTGTCCTGGGTTGGTCTGCGGAGGGTTTCGGTGTGTGCCAAGGCTGGGATGGGCTGGGTGCTGCCTGCAGGGCATGGAGGAGCTGCAGGAGGAGAAGGAATCATCATTAGTTGTATGCTCAGAGCTGGGACAGACAAGGCTAGAAGACTGGGGGGATCTGCCAAAGGAGAGGCAGGGCAAGGCGAGTCCCTGAGCTGCTCCGGGCATTCAGCACCCCCGGGGGGATTAGGAATGAGCCCTGGGCTCAATTTGCCCCCAGAACCCCACACATGTGCCCCCTCACCCTCAACACCAAAGGTTCCCTTCCCAGGGCCAAGGCCTGTGAGTTGCTCTACCTTTTCTGGGAGCCACAGACGGACACCCCAGAGCCAGCCCTCACTCCTTGGGGTCAACGAACAGGACACAAAGCCACGTCAGACACAAATTCAACACAGAACTACGGAATTGTTTGGCTTAGAAGAGCATCCACAGCTTCTCTGGGAAACCTGCACCCCATCCCAGATGGATTACCACTGGCTCTGCTGCCTTTTCTGTCCCTACAAGGTGCTCCTGGCATCCCGACAGTGGGTGGGAGGCCACAGAGAAAGAACTGGATGTGCCCTCACCTGGGAACTGAGCTCCTATTGAAAGTAATTGGAAAAATGGGGTTTTTCCTTCCAATCTGGTAGTTCCAGGCTCTACTTTCCTTTCCCTAGAGCAAGACACTTTTCTTGAGACTTCACAGGCTCACCAGTAGGCAGGAAGACCTAGAAATCCTGGGTGAAACAAGAGAAAAACATCATTAAAATGTGACCAGGCTTTTTACCCCAAGCTAGCACTTCCTTTCCATAGTTTCCCCAAATCTGCATCATCCCAGGTAACTGCTACATCCCACCTGGCTTTTACTCCCAAGTGGTGTCACGTGGTGTTTGAGTCAGAGTTGGCCTCAGTCCTGGTCTCTTCCTCTCCCTCGGAGTGCCTGGGGACAGAGGAGATGGGATGAGCTGTGGGCAGCAGTGCCAATTGCAGCCCCTTTCGAAAGGAAAGTGATAAGTCTGTAACAGCAACCCCCCCCCCTTTCCCCATGTCCCCACAGCTCTCCAAAGCAGTGTGCAGCAGCAGGGTAAATGTCCCTTGCAGGGGGACCAGGCTCCTCAGCTCAAGTCCCACAAGGAATTTCTGCAACACAGTTTAGCCTGGAATGTGCTAATTTTCTCCAACAATGCTTTTTTTCTTTTCTTTTCTTTTTTCTTTTCTTTTTTCTTTTCTTTTTTTCTTTTTCTTTTTTTTTTTTTTTTTTTTTTTTTTTTTTTTTTTTTTTTGCTAGGAAATAAATAAATCATGAAAGTTCTCCATCATTCTCTCCAACCAGCTGTCCCTGTATCACGGCCCATCCTTCCCCTGGGCTTTGGAACTGGGTCAGTGAGCAACATCCAGCAGTGGTTGCTTCCCACTGAAATTCATAGAAAGCAGATATGGCCCCTGGTGCTTCGGAGTGACTTTGCCTTTCCAGCACGAATCTCAGCCAGCCCAGAGTGGGGTGGCTGGAGGAGCAGATGATGCCCAAGCAAACCCTCAAAGGGACCAGGGGCTCTGCCAGCAGCGCTTCCCTGCATCCCACTGCCATGCTGGGGGTCATGGCTTTGCATCTTCACTACCTGGTGGGGACTGGATGTCTTTGAACTTCCATCCCCTGCCAAACTTGGCTGAAATAAGCCAGCAGGCTTGAAAGCTATCTGGGGGAGCAGACACACGTGTGTGCATGGACACACACAGAGAGCAATCACACAGCACTTACTGCTGGGGAAACCAGGTAAAAGGGGGAGCAGCTTCGTCCTGTAATTTTGGCCTTGCTCTGCCTGGTTACACCCCATGGTAAAAGGGAATTTGTGTTCTATTGATTGGGGACCAGGTCTTGGGACAGAGCGTGTCTCATCATAGGTAATGTGACTGAAACAAGTCCAGGGACCTCCTTGGGCTGCCAAAGGAGCCCTGCAGAGCCCAGAGAGGTGGGTAAAACCCATCCCCACCTCCAGATACCCAGCTGGCTTTTCCACTTGTGAAGCACAGCTCCTTTGCAGTGCTAGAATTTGGGGTCACTTTCAATACCTCACTCCAAAATCAGAGGAAAAACCAGAGATGCTCTCTGAGTCACTGGCATGTTGTTACCAAGGACACTAAGGTTCCTGATTTTGAAGAAGAGATTAATTACATTCTACAAATAGACATTTTATCTGCACTGAAGAGCAGCAAGAACGAGTTCTTTTAGCGTAGCTCATTATGTATCAGCAGGTAGTATTGTGACAGATGTAGGAATCCAGTCGCATTGTCACTTGGGTTTAATCATCAGAAAGCTTGTCTTCCCCGGGTCAGCTCCTAGTGAGGATTGGTAATATTTACATAGCACTTGGGGCTGGCTTCTTTATTGCTGGAGTCTGTATTCACTCGTCAGTCTCTCATTATGCATATGCCAGTATTAATTGCATTTAGAAATGAGATTCTAAAGGAGAAGTGAGAGCTATTTAGACCTCCATTCAGCTTGAAAGACAGCAGCCTTCTGTGTGACAGCTCTCGAGATGTTCTTGCGCTCAGCTCTCTCCCCAGCTGAAAAGCAGGTGTTGGAGAGAGTTGGTGTCGGAGCCACTGTATCAGCACTGCCTTTTGTGCATGCCCAGACATTTATATAACCGACAGGATAATGACTCCGCAGAAGTGGCACAGAATTGACCCTTCTGGTACTGGATTGAACACAGCAAGGGAGGGAGCAGATCTGCTCCGCTGCTGTGCAGACGTGAGGAGGGAAAGCGATGCTGAGCCTTGTCTCCCACGGAAAGAGGAGGGGTGTTTTCTTGCCGGTGGGTTTGGGGGTTATTTGTCAGCTCGGCTGTGCCTGCAGCACTTCGGAGCGGTGTTTGTGGCCTTGCTAATGTATTTAAAGTCTCACAGAAATTCAGCTGACACTTGTCTGTGCCTGCCTGCTGCACGCCGATTGCTCTAGCCTGGAGATGCAGAGCCGCGTGCCACCGCTGCCGGCTGCCAGCCGTGCCTGGGCGGTGGAAACGAGGAGGTCACGTCCTGCTTTCCAGAGGGAAATAAGCTGGAAGGTTAATCTAGATGATGCCAAACTGCTGGCTCTGTTTTCTCCAGCCTGGGGTGCAGAGGGTCCGTTCTTGCCTTGCAGCACCGTGTGTGGGGTGTGACAAAGGTGTTCTCATGGGGGGAGAGATCGCCACAGGCACTAAATGCTTCCTCTCTCCATGGCCCTGACTCCCAGTCCTAGGAAAATAACCCCTCTGGGGCGTGGGGAATTCATGTCCAGCCTGTTGGGATGGGCTAAGAAAACAGCAGCAAGGCAAATACATGTTTCACTTCTCCAAAGAGCCTCCTTTGCTTTGCCATAGTCCAGCACTGCCCCACCAAGCCTGATCCATCTCCAAGAGCTCTTCGTGGAGCACATCTCCCCTCACAGATGTGACCCTTCCCAGTAGGCTCCTGTGGGTGCTCCTGTGCTCCTTTGAGTGCTCCTGTACTCCCTTGGGTGCTTAGTGCCCTGCATCCTCCAGCCTGGATTGGTACCAAACCCCAGCCCTGGGTTCCATGCCAGCATCATTTCTACCTCCCCAAAACCAGGAGCAGCTCCAGCCAGGAAGGGACAGGAGGGGAGGAACATGAGAAAAGCAAACAGAACAGACATCCATAACCAGCCCTGGCCCCTGGCCAGGACCTCCTCATTAAATATCACATACAACAAAGGATAAATCACTGCTCGTTGAGGTAATCCAAGCACCAGAGCCCAAGGAGTCCCTCTTGACCTTCCTGTCCCTTGATGGGATGTTAGTCCAGGGTAGTGTTCCAGTTTGCTTTTCAACTCCAGCGAGGTGGGGGATAACAGAACCCATGGCTGGGATGGTAGGAGGAAACTCTTCAAACCTCTCCACTGGAGATGATGGCAGCCAGCTCCAGGGGCCAACCTTAACCCCACAGACCCCCGGCCGAGCCCCCCAGCCCTGTGAGTGTGGGCCAAGGACAACCTGCACCATCCCTGGCAGCCCCAAGGTATATAAATAGAAGACAGGGACGTGAAGGAGGTCAAGTGAGCAGAGGATTTCACATAATCTGATCTTGCCTGTGTTGTTCATTTGTGTCCTTTGCCCAGGACGCACGCCCTGCTTCGCGCACGGGGACGTCAGAGACAGAGGGTTGATCCTGCACCGAGCCAGGTTTATCCCGTGGAACATGCAGGCTCCTGACTTTTTCTTCATTGTGTGCTGTTTTTTCAGGGATGTCTTTAATTCAGCTGTCATCCACAGCAGTGCACACATGGAAAATGCTGGTCTTTGTTACTGTGTGGGGTCCCGGGCCTGACCAGACTGAGCCTGGTCCTCTGGCTCACCAAAACTCAGTTGGATCAAAACTGTACTGGGGCTCTGGTGCCAGAGGTCTGTTCCCGGTCCTGAGAATGCTGCCTGCCCTCCACCATCTCCATCTGAAGCCTTGGTCCACTCTGCCTTGGTCTCCTGGACCACTTCTCCCCAGTCCCCGGGGGACTTTTCTCTTGCTTTTGCTACTTCTCTTTTCCAGGATATGAAAGGCTGGAGACAGAATTTCTCCTGGTTTAGACTGGAATGGCTCTGATTGATGCCAGCACAGAGCAAGGCAAGTAGATAAATGTCCAAAATAGAGCAAGTAGAAAATCTCTTAATAGGCACTGGTAGTTAATGGTGAGAGCAATTAATCACCGAAAGAACTAATCCAGAGGCATGTGGCTTCTCTGTGGACTGTGTTGCTGTCTCGCTGGCCATGCATTGATGATGATGATGGTGGTCATGGTGAAACCAGATGGGTGCTAGGACTGACCAGGCTGCAGGGCCCCAGTTTAGATGTGGTGGAAGGAGCGATGATCCTGCCATGAACAGGAAGGGCAGCACCAGTGTCCCTCCCAACCTCAGCTTTTTCAGCTCCAGGCTCCTTCCTGTCTCCTCCTGCACGGATTTGTGCTTTCCCACTGCTTGCTCCTTACAAGCTGCCCTCTCACACTGCTCCCATGGGCAGGGCTTGTGCTGCAGTTGGATCTGCCTTCCAGGACCAGGGCACTGCACTGTCTGCACACTGTGCCTTCATGCCATCGCTCCAGGTGACCTGTCTCCCCAGCTATGTACCTGCCCCATGTGTGGGCAGCGCTGCCCAATTGTCCTGCAGCTTCCACAGGGAGGGACCTACAGGCTGCCAGCCTTGCCAACCACCCTAATACCCCCTGCCCAGAGACAGCCCCCACCTCTGCTCAGGCACTTAATGAATGTTGAATTCCTCGGGTGCTGTGCTGCAGGTAGCACGAGGAGGGCTGGGGGCATGCAGGCCAGGAGATGCCTTCCCTGCTTTGAGTCTTGTTTCTCCCTGCCCTGATTTAATTGGCTCATTAAGTGCCAATTTGACCTCCACACTTTCAGATGTCTCCAGTCTCCAGCGGTAAATAGATTTGTGCGTCTCCAGCGGAAACCTCCCCGGGCTGAGCCTGGTGTTGGAGCAGGCGGCTGCACAGCAAGCGAGGGCGATGCTCGGCCTCGCCGAGAGCACGGCCCTGCTGCCACCGAGCTGAAGCCAAGCGAGAGCCGAACGGGAACAAAACTCCCTCCCAAAAGGCACGGGGGAGCTGCAGGTAGTGGAAGCCGCAGCCGCCGGCACCGTGCCCGTGGCGCAGCGGGGAGGCACCGAGCAGGAGGTGACCCTGCCCTCCTGTCGCAGCTTTGTCATTGCCTCGGTGTGGGACTGCAGCAAGTCCCTTCCCATCTGCTCCCTGCCATTGCCTCAGAGCCAGGAGGAGTGAGCGTGTGTGTGAACACGGAGCACAGCGCAACAGGGCCATGGCTGCAGGGTGGTGGCTGCTGACTCTGCCGAGAGCCAACGTTCAGCCGATGCTCTCAAGCATCCTA